GGATATCCGATTCGATCCGATCCGAAAATTCGGGGATCGAAGAAATTGCGATCCGAAATTTTCGGATCGGATAGTCGGATATTCAGATCGGATAGTCGGGTTTTCAGATCGGGTAGTTAAAATTTTCGGACAAAATCCGATCCGTATCTTATCCGAAAATCCGAATTTTTTTCGGATATCCGATCAGAAATATCCGGATTGGATATCCGAAATTTCGAATTAGATTTTCGGATCGGATATTTTGGACCGGATATTTTTGAACACCCCTACAGCCCTACTGGGTGGAACCATCCAATTTGCCTTTAAATTTCCTATCTATTTACCGGTTTATAACTTGCACCGATTTCATTAATTCAATCCTACCACAAACATTTATGAGAACAAATAATGATCATATATGACTTCAAATAAAAGGCATTAAATGACCCCGAGATGTATCCCCTAGAATTTCAAGACTTTTCGACACAGGGCCTCGCATCCTTCAAATTTTTTCAAAAAGCGTGGATACTAACAATTTTGAAAATTTTGACTTTTTTTTCTCCCTAAAATAAAAATATCCGAAATGTTTACCATGGTCCCTATACCGCCCGGGAGTCCCGTCGGGTGGGTGAAACCATCCAATTTACCTTTAAACGACCAATTTACCGGTTTACAACTTGCACCAATTTTATTAACTCAAGCCTACCACGAACATTTATGAGAACAAATAATGATCATATATGGTTCCAAACAACATTTATATGTCCCGATATGTATCCTCTAAAATTTCAAGATTTTTCAATACTGGGCCTCGAAACCTCCAAATCTAAAAAACTGTGGATATTAGTTTTCAATTTTAGAATTTTTTGACTTTTTTTTTCGCTCGAAAATAAAAATTGCCGAAATTTTTTTCATGGTCACTAATACCCTGGCCTCCGGAATTCCAATTGGGTTGGTGGAACCATCTAATTTTCTTTTAAACGGCCAATTTAATTACCGGTTTACAACTTGCCAGGATTTCATTAACTCAAGCCTACTACGAACATTTATGACAAAATATAATGATCATATATGGTTCCAACCGGCATTAGATGACCCCCAAATGTATCCCTTTAAATATTAATACTTTTCTACACTGGGTCCTAAAACCTCCAAAGTTTCTCAAAAAGCGTGAATATTAGCCTTCAATTTTGAAATTTTTTAATTTTTTTTCGCCCGGAAATAAAAATTGGCGAAATTTTTGTCATGGTCCCTAATACCCTACGGGGGTTCAATTGGGTGGGTGGAACCATCCAATTTGTCTTTAAACGACCAAATTAATTACCGGTTTACAACTTGCATCGATTTCATTAATTCAAGCCTACCACGAACATTTATGACAACAAATAGTGATCATATATATATGGTTCCAAATGAAGGAGTTATGTCTTCGTCGTGTGCAATTACTAGATATATAATTGGATCAAATTATGGAGATAATTAAGTCCGGACATTTGGGTCGTCGTTTTGCCATAGCTAGAGGTACTTACGATCTTTGGACTAGTAAAATAGGCCAAAGCCCAATTGGACGGATCCTATAAGGTCACACAAAGGGGCTAGATCGAGCATTAGAGGACGAGGCCCATCTTGGGCCTCATCACTCTAGGTGGCCGGCCATGTAGGGGAATTAAGAGAGTTTTGGGCTTCGTGCCCTAGTCTAATTATAATGAGATTATAAATAGACTAGGTGCCTAGGTTTGCAAGAAGGGTAAGCAATTAACTAATCAGTGTGATCAAACCCTAATTAGCAAACACGAAACCCAACCCCTCTCATATTCCTCTCTCTTACGGCTCTCTCCTCCTCCCCGACGCACGGTGGTGTCTCGTGGTGGTGGTGGTTCGTGCGGTGCGGTGCGGTGGTCGGTTGTCCGAAAAGGTGGTGATCGCAGTTTTCCTCAATCACTCGACCAATCTAGTATTGGTGGACGGCTCGTTTGAATCTCGTGGACTAAGTAGAGGAGCAACACTTGGGGCTCTATTCTCTCCCTGATTTGCCTGTCGAATAGCTTCGTGGAATTCACGTTGCAAAGGTATGATTATGTGTCTTGTGAGTTATGCATGTGATTCTTGGGATTAGGTACTTTATTGAATATGATTCATGTTATTTCCGCTGCGTAGTACCTATAAACTCCTACACCAAACGACATTATATAACCACAAGATGTATCCCATAGAATTTCAAGACTTTTCGACACCAGCCCCCGAAACCTCCAATATTTATCAAAAAGCGTGGATATTAGCCTTCAATTTTGGAATATTTTGACTTTTTTTCGCCCGAAAATAATAATTGTCAAAATGATTACCATGGTCCTTAATACCCTCCGGGAGTTCAATTGTGTGTGTGAAACCATTTAATTTGCTTTTAAACAACCAATTTATCGGTTTACAACTTGTACCGATTTACCGGTTTACAACGGCCAATTTAATTAACTTGCACCAAACCCGACTTGAACTGAAATTGATCCAAAACCGTTTAAACCCGTCAAAACCCGAATTTAACCCGACTTGTTATGAACCTGACCTGAATTCAACCCGACCCGTTCCTAACCCGACCTGAATTTAACCCAATCTGTTACAAACCCGACCCGAAATAAACTCGACTAGTTATTGACCTGACCTAAATTCAACCCGACTTGTTATTGACCCGACCCGAATTTTACCATACCTATTACTTACCCAACCCAAAAAATCAACCCGATGTGTTACTAACCCGACTCGAAATTAACACGACTTGTTATTGACCCGACCTAAATTCAACCCAAATTGTTCCTGACCCGATTTTAAATCACCTTAAATGCAAATTAGACCACTTTGTTATAGTTGATCAAAACATTTTTTCTTGGGAGACCAAGTTGGTCTAGGCCCGCAAAAGAAAAGAGCATCATCCTCAAATTTAAGAGTTAAATATAGTATATATTTGTTGTATGGTCAAATGAGATAATTATCTTCCTAAATTATAGACTATAGTTCCCTACTATATTGCCATATATATTATAGTCATAGGAAATGATTAGCTTGATATAAAATGATAATTATTTATTTATAGTTAGTTGAACCCGAATATGACCTGACTTGAAAATGACCCGACCTGATTGTAACCTGCAAATTATTGACTTGAACATAACTCGAATTCGAGAATGACTACTCGACTTGGAAATGACCCAACCTGATTATAACCCACAAATTATTAACTTGAATCAAACCCGACTTGAACCCGAGAATGACCCGACTTGAAAATGACCCGACCTGATTATAATCCGCAAATTATTGACTTGAACCGAACCCGACTCGAACCCGAGAATTACCCTAACCCGTTTCAACCCGAATTAGACTCGACCTATTGTTCACCCGACCCGAATGTAACCCGACCCAAACCTGATAAGAAGTATGACCCGACATGACCCGACTCAAGCATGACCCAACCCAAACCCGACCCGCATAGTTTATGGAATTAATATGAATTGACCCGACCCGAGTTGACCCGAACCACTCTTACCCGACCCAAACCCAACCCGTTTACCCGAATTATTGACAGCTCTACTACGGAGTACATCTTTTTTGAACTAAAATTTAGATTTTTTTTAATCATGAAAACACAATTTAATAATACAATCTCATAATTTAGTGGTAACTAAATACTTCTTACTGATTATATCTTGTATTAGGGCATTTATTTTATTTTATTAACACAATTAAAATTCTATCTTTTTTTTTTTGGAAAGGGACTATATAATTCCATCTTTTTAGCTAACTACAACCACTTCAAAATAATGTCATAACAGAAAATTATCCACCTAAGTCTATAACCCTAATTCATCTTTTATTTATGGAAAGTACGACCCTTATCCAAAGGCAAATTTGCCCTAGCTTGCATAATAAGTTGTAATTATTTAAGTGTATGTATACAGTGAGTCCATACATCTTTTCTTTCAACAAAATCAGATTAAATTCTCTTCACTTTTCTTTCAACAAATAGACCTTCTTCAACTATCATATATAAGCTCAAACTATTTTTTTTTTTTTTTTTTTTTTTTTTTGGAACTATGATTCAATTTTTTTTTTTTTATTTAATATCCAAGAAATACAATTTAAAAATACACTCTCATAATTTAGTGGTAATTAAATATTCCTTACTAATTATATCCTTTTTTTTTTTTGAAGGATCTTACTAATTATATCTTGTATTAGGTCATTTATTTTATTTTATTTTATGAACACAACTATAGTATTTTATTTACTTATTTATTTTTTGAAAGGGACGACTATAATTCTATCTTTTTATTAGCTAACAATAACCAGAAAATCCACCTAAATCTAAAACCCTAATCCATGTTTTATTCATGGAAAGTACCCTTATCCAAAGGCAAATTTGCCCTAGCTTATCTTGCATAATACTCCGTAAGTTGTAATAATTTAAGTGTATACATACAGTGAGTCCATACATCTTTTCTTTCAACAAAATCAGATTAAATTCTGTTCACTTTTCTTTCAACAAATAGACCTTCTTCAACTATCATTTATAAACTCAAACTATTTTTTTTTATTTGAACTTTAATTCATTTTTTTTTTCCAAGAAATACAATTTAAAAATACACTCTCATAGTTTAATTTAGTGGTAATTATATTAAATATATCTTACTAATTATATCTTGTATTAGGTCATTTATTATTAACACAACTATAATTCTTTTTTTTTTTTTTTTTTAAAAGGGACGACTATAATTCTATCTTTTTATTAGCTAACAATAACCAGAAAATTCACCTAAATCTATAACCCTAATCCATGTTTTATTTATGGAAAGTATCCTTATCCAAATGCAAAATTGCCCTAACTTGCATAATAAGTTGTAATAAGTATATATATATACTGTACGTCCATACTTGTTTTCTTATTTCAACAAAATCAGATTAAATTCTCTTCACTTTTCTTTCAACAAAAAACCCTAGCTTCTTCAAGTATCATAAGCTCAAATTAAATAATAATGGCTAGTTCGAGCAATGAAACGGTAAATTTCTGGAATATGATTCCTCCAGGTTTTCGGTTTGAGCCAAAAGATGAAGAATTGATTACTCATTACCTAGTTCCCAAGATTAATGGCGAAGCTTTGCCACCAAACAAGATGCATGAGACTGTATTGTATGGTGTGCTCGCTCCTCAAGATCTTACACGTAAGTTTTACCATGATTTTTAATTTTCCGGTCTTGATCTTATTTGTTTTCCTTTTAATTTATTCGTCTGAAATTAATTAATTGTTGATAGTATGCATTGTGATTTGTGAATGTTATTAATGTTTGAACTTAAACTAGTTAAATCGATTTTACAAAGATGTATTTTATGTTGATAGTACGTGCATGCATGTTGATTGTATACCTTCATATGATTGTATTGTCCAATTATTGCATATCAAGAAATCATGAATTAATTAGAAGATAATTTTATTTTATTAATATGCATACACCTATATAATTTTTGGCCAAGAAAATTATATGTTCATGTGATCAAAGATTACCTAAAATTAAAATTATGATATTATTTTATTTTATTTAATGGTTTAGTATCTCTTGAATTATTTCATATTATTTGATGATACGGACTCCTAAGTCGTAAGCATTAGTATGCATGCTTTTCATTCTTGATTGTGTTTACTATTATGGTGCGTCAAATTTATACTTGTGTTTTGTTTAATGATAATTAATTATATACATTGTATCTTATGGTGATTAATTAAGATTATGTGGGCGTTAAATGTATATAATAATTAATTTCTTGATTTTGGATGCAGTGTATTATGAACCGGAAAGTGAGAACACTTGGTATTTTTTCACAAGATTAGAAAGATTGTACGAAAACGGAAGTCGACCTAGAAGATCCGCTGGCAATGGTTATTGGAAGGCTACCGGAGTGGATGCAACAATAAGGAACAAACAAGGAGTAATAATTGGTCATAAGAAGGCTTTAGCCTTTTTTATTAAAATCGAACCCCCTCCAATTAATAAAAACGAACCTAAGGGAATTAAAACACCATGGCTTATGCACGAATTTCGGCTAGCCAATACCTCTGAGCCTAAACCCAAAAGACGTAAAACAAATGATCATAATGCTGCTCATTCCAACACAACATCACATTCCGAAGGGTCCAAGCCAAAAAATATGGTAAGCAATCACAATATGAATTTAGATATTTAGGTTATATGATATATTTGTGTTGCTTTACGTATATATGTTTCTGTTTTAGATGGATTTATTCAAGTTATTGGTGATTTGTTTGCAGTTGGATGGCTGGGTGCTATGCAAAGTTTATAAACTTGGAAGAGATGTCGCGGTTGATGAAGCTCCAATAATCCCGGTTGCTCAAGAGGAGCACGATCAAGTAGTGGTACATTCTCAAGAGGAGCATAATCAAGTTGTACATGTTCAAGAGGTGCATAATCATCAAGTGGTACATGCTCAAGAAGAGGACAATCAAGTGGTACATGTTCCTGTTTCCCCTAACAAACTTAATTATACAAAAGAGGATATTCTTCGACATCTAGAACTCGATGAAGACGTCTTACATCACCCTCAGCCTACTGATGACCCGTTGTTAAATTCGTTTAATATGGATATGAGCTTTCAACCAGAGCTACTACACGTTGAAGAACACGATATGAGCTTTCAACCAGAGAATCCCATACAAATGCCATTACCACATTACTCAGAAAATTTTGAGTTTATATTGAATAACATATCGTTTGATTCTTGAATTTGTTAAGAATGTAGTATGTACTTGAACTTTATTGTGGTTCATAAGAATAAGAACTTTAAATTTTATTTACCTTGAGCGATATTCACCCATTATGATACATGTGGATGAAAACGGATTATAAGCTATGTTTACATAATTTCATGATGAAGATAACACACCCTTTATTCACTTGATAATGACCTGTTTTAATTTAATCTGTTTGGTTCGTCAAGATTTATATTAATATTAAAATGAAAAGAAAGGTAAATAGATAATTAAAAGTCTGTTGAGAATTTGTGGTAGAATGGACTGCTGAATTGGGTCACATTTGGACTAGATCGGGTTTAGTCGGGTTGGGTTAGTTTTTAACATCTTTAACCATATTGTCATGCTACTAAGAGTCACATAGTGGAAGCAAATGGATCTTATTTCATCAAGTAGAGCAATATCAATCAACCAGTTAAATAATTAGATGCTACAATAATTTAAGATACACTAATTTAAGATGACTTAATTCTAAATAAGAGTTGTTTCATGAATAGAAAAATCTAGAAAAAGAAAGATGATGTACATTATCAAGGCTTATTACCTCGGTCTATAGTTCTGTGCTAAAAAAAATTTCAAAAACGTTTGAATTACTCAAAATCCTGGCAAAGATGAGAGGTCTGCAATTCCCCTTGGAAGGTCTGCAATCTTTTTAAGAAGAGCAAGCCTATTATTCCTGACCTGTTCTTCTTCCTGCAAATGATATTTATACGCTGATGTAAATCTTTCAAGTTTACATGCATAGATGTTCGTCGTTCATCACATGAAAATAGGTACATACCACCATTACGAAGACATTATCGAAGAAATCAGCAAGTGGCTGTACTAATTCCGAGGATGCATTTACAAATTCGTCGATTTCAATACCTATTCAAGGCAAAAGGAATCAAACATAAACTTGTAAGCATTTTTACTAAACAACATGAACTTTGGGGTCTTTTGAGATTAGGATTATTTTATGTTGCTGGATTAAATCTAGGAGGATCATGTGCATCTCAAAAACTGAAAGAGGGTATGTGTGTGTTGACATCACAAGGGTCTAGACTATGACACTTATGTATAAAATATATATGATGTATATCGCATTATCAAAATTTTTATGATCATGATCAAGTAATCGAATGAAAAAAAAATGCTAAGGGAAAATATAAACTGGAATACCATGATAAATTTGTTTGTTCACTGACAAGAAAGCAGTCCACAAAGCTCTCTCTTCCTTCGTCTCAAAAACAGCTTCGTTCACCTTGAATTTCAACACAATAAACAATTTCTTAGCAAGAAGGAAACTATTATTATTACTCAAATACAGATTACATAAATACCAAGCTATAAATTCTTGTCATATTTTTTTATAGTGAGACTAAGATATACACTGATATAATTTTATATTTATTTTAAAAAGTGCAGTTTTAACTTGTCAAGTATTCATGTTTATAAACAGCAGTTTGTTTCCCATAGGCTCGATGAACCAACTCAAGGTTGAGGTGGTCCATCTAACAAAATAAAAAAAATAAAAAACGATCGCATGGATTCAACTATATATAGATATGATGAACTCAATAACAAGAAAAGACATGATATAACCATCAGCCAATCACTTTTACCAGACCATAGCACCACATATGTGATTCTGATTACACCTAGTAAGTTATCGATAAGGTCCTTTCAGACGATTCTCCTAATGATTTTAGTTGCATTTTATGTCAGATGGTGATGCACAAAACATGTTCATTCAACTTCAACAAACAGCAAGTTTTCATCCCCCACTTTCCCCGCATTGAAAGAGAATACATAAAGTTACATACAATTAAAAGTTAATATCATGCGTCCAAAAAAAAAAAAGTTAATAATCACAGAAAATTCTCTGTTGCATGGGATGACTGCTAGTTTAAGAAGCACACCTCTGTGTTGTCATTTAAGTCCTTTCCTCGGACAATTCTTGTTGGCCGGGAATATGCTTCAACAACCTTTGGAAGGAGATCTTCTTTGAACAAGGCTTCCATCTGAAACAAGGCTTTTATCTTAGAACAAGGCAGCAATTTATAATTGAAGAGATTATACCAAATTACCCACAACCACCCATAATCTATCCCACTGGGATAGAAGATCAAGGTACATGCAATCAGGAAGGTAAAGATCATGGCAACATTTAGCAATAAAAAAATCTACAAACAGCTTGTATAGTCTAACAGAAATTAAAGAAGGAACATGAAGATTAAAGGAAGAAAATGAAATACTATAACTTATTAACTGGAAAATGATTGTTGATTGTATATAGAATTGTAGATGCAATATGATCATCAATGATTTTATTTACAATCCCAGACTTTTGAGTGGTTGAACACTCTCACTGATCTCTATATATTAAGTATTTATAAGTCTTAACTTCTTCAAGATAATATTAAGAACTACCCCTCCCCTTAGGCTGGTTGCCAGGTTCATTATATACTATTAGACTATATTAGACTGATTAACACAGATATTATCTTGAGACTTGTAACTTTTCATTTAGATCAACTGTATTAAATCCTAACAAGGTTATGAATTTCTTTAGACCTTCAATTAATACTGCACTCAGAAGGAAATTTGATCACCCGTCAGGCAATCATTAGAAAAATCCAAAATGCATGATTTTTTAATCTTAAGGTTATCTGCAGCACAAGGCAAAAAGAAATCCTTTAAGAACATGAAATCAAGAAAAATATATGCAATTGGGCAATGTGTTTTTTTTTTTTTTTTTTTGGTTGGGGGGGGGGGGGTGGAATATGCGGGCCTAAGAATCCTACAGGCTCTAAGACCCCGAGGTCACAATTTATTCAGACTTACTCATGCATGCAAAAATCCACTTCACTTCAAAATTAATCAGATATGAAGGTCATACTTGAAATATAGAAGTAAAATGAAGGACAACGAGAATAATCAAACAATTGCTGACTCAATAGACTAGTTTGGCCCCTCATACTTGAGGCACTGAGCACAAGGATAGCATTTTGCAACATACTATTCAGACATCAAAATGATTATATCTCAGAAAGCACTAACACACCTTTACTGCTGATTTTGCTGCCAGACATGGCCAATTTGCACGCTCTATAAGAACTGACCGGACAACTTCTGAATTTATTCCCCTGTCAACCTGCCACCATATTCCAACCAACATGGACAAGAGCAATTGCATTTCAGTTATAGATTTATGAATGTCCATTCAAGATTCCAAATACATTAACGAAGTTGGACATACTGATTTTGTAAAGAGACATCCCAACTTTTTAACATCATTTCATCGTTAATTTTATTTATATTTATTTATAATGAAGAAAAATCTTTTACAAATCAGCAACAAGCAGAAAGTACAAGGATGGAGGACAACTTGTCTTTGTAACAGCAGAAAATTAAATTACAGATTTCCCTGCTGAGCAACTTCTGAAATTTGTATTATGTATTTCCCCTACTGAGCAACGTTGAACACTTTCACAACCCCAGTCCACAATGAAGCTATATAGCTTATGTTATCCCACAAAATATTAGCACTTAAAGTGGTTCCTCTTAAAATCTGCGCATTCTATTTTGACCATTAACACCACATAGGCACATAACCACCTTAAAAGCATTTTGCCACAAATTCTTTTCTTTTGCCATTCCAAAACCTACAAACTAGACTTGCAGCATGTCCAAAACAGTGTGTGTGATAACTAGGTATTCACCATGCAAAGCAAAAAGCCTCCTCCAAATACCACTTGCATCTCACAAAGAACAAGACGTATGAGCAAACTGACTATTGACACAACACAACATACCCATATCTGGCGAATAGTCATTCTTGGTCTTCTTTGGAGAATATCATTAGAATTGATTCTCCACAAAGCCAACTAGCCAAGGTCCACACAAGTGCTCTCACCTTACGAGGAGCGCTGGCCTTCCGAATCAATCTATGAACAGGAAAAAGGGGGTACTGATGTGGTGAAAAAAGGCATAACATAATAAGACTTGATACAATGATGCCTGATCTATCCCCAAATCATTTTCAGAATCCTATCCTTGAAAATTACAGTGAGTACATCATGTCTCTATCATAAGGATTCTTCCACAAATGGAGATCCTAATAATTGCTAGACTGTGGAATGCAAATAGGAGCTTCATGTACAGTGGACTGATTATATTATCGAGTGAAACACCGAAAATAGTTAATCCTCTCTCCAAACTTCCTCCCAAAATCTAATGTAATTGTCATTCCCTACCTTGAAATTGACTATCAGAAAGACAGAAATGATTTGGCAAGCAGACATACCACACTATGAATCCCACTTGTTTTCGAGTAAATCGTACTTACTCTAGATTACATGAAGCCACAACAAATGAGTTTAAATTTCCTAGAGAATGATATACGAGCTATTGCTTGGTTGAAACTAATATGGAATTGGGAGTGTGTATCTTCTAAGGAAGTTCTATAGTAGAGTTTCCCATGGGAAGTAGAAACTCCCAACATTCAACCAAACTACTTTTAACAATTTCTAGAAAAATCATTTCTCATGCACTAAAAATTCCTAGGAAGTATCCAACTATCCATTATCAAACCAAACAAGCGCTAAATGTGGCCTATAGCTGGTATTAATCTTGATTGGAATAAGCTTGGGGATACTGTGACAAATTTCCAAGGAAGTATGCAAGTATCCAATGTCAAACCAAACAAGCGCTAAATATGGCCTAGCTGGTTTTAACCTTGATCTAAATAAGCTTGGGGATAATGTGGCTTGGTGTGGTGTGAAATTTTGAATAGGTAATTCATTTATTTGAGCTTACCTTGAAAGTAATCCAGAGTCAGAGAGACTTTCTAGGAACCTATTATCTTCCAGATGTTACATAGACTTGATGGTTGGAAAAGGCATGTTTTTCTTTTGGGAGGAAGAATCATGTTGCAGTCATCATGCTTATAACTTTTCAACATTCCCATGGATGTTGCAAATAAGATGTTA